ACTTTTAATCGCCTAGTTGGTGCTATTTTGGGCTTGTGGGCCTTCGCCCTCTACAGAACATTCTAGCCCATTTATTTTGGGCTTTGCCATTTTTTTTTTAACCCTCTAATGGGGTCTATACAAATGTCTGCAAAAGGTAAGAAAAATAAATTACATCATTCAAAACAAAGGTTTTGACATAGAAGCTTAAACAATTGTAGATCGTTGGTGCATTGCTTTTGCTTTTGCTTTCGTTTTCTGCTTTGCTTTTGCTTTCTTTTTCTGCTTTGCTTTTGCTTTCTTCTTTTACTTTTGTTTTCTGCTTTCCTGTCTCGGCTTTTCTCCATGAGCGACTGCTTTGGATATGTGGCTAGATGCCATGATTAAGGGCAATATTCCTTAAAGTGACAGCTGCTTTGACAGCCTTTTCGACACCACCTCATTGCTTCTGATTCTGAGCAGAAATGGGCTCCAATGGCATGTGCAGGCAATATGGGTTAGATTGCTTCACCTTCGTGATCTCGTAGACGTGCCTCACCGACAGCGTTGACGCCACCGCGTGTCATGGACAGCTGTTGACAAAGCACCAACACCTTCCTCTTTAATCATGGTCCTGGTGACCTGGGCAGCTGATCCCTAACCCAATTGAATTCTCACTTTGATCATATCGATTGGCTGGATGACATAGGTAGCAAGCATACCAGAGGCTCTTGTGACGCAATGGCTTGCAACGCACAAGGACTCCCTCACTTCGTCTTCACTCAATGGCCTGCAACGCACAAAGACCTGCACACTGACACCCTTTTCTTTCTCATGCCTATTTGTCGAATTCAAATCCATGGATCGCAGATCTCGCACCGACTTATCGCTCGACCTTGGCGTCTGTGACGATGATAGTGATACCAATCTTCCTCTTCTCTATTGGGACTGCGAGGAATCCCCGTCAGCCTTGACGAAGCTGAGAACCCCAAAACCAGTACTCAGCGGCAAGCATGGTCACGTAGACATAGGAAAGGCCGGTAGAGAAGACCACGACAACGGCGAGAGCCGCCGCGAGCTCCCACCACGAAAGCGGAAACCTTTCAGACTTGAGCCTCTTGCCGGTGGACCAATTGTCCTCCTTGGCATTCTCCTCGTCCCTCGGCAGCCTCCTAGCGTCCCCCGCCAGATTTCTCAGAGCCGCCATGTACAGATTGCCCCAGCACTGATACGAAGATGATGAGGGCCTACGTTAATAGTAACACTCATTCATCGGTAAATTTGCATCCTTGGTTTCGCTGTCAAGGTCGAAGCTTCAAAGTGTGGTTTTTAAAATGCAACCCACATCGATCAAAGATTCAAAATCTGAGATAGACACATGTTGTGGATCAAATTCTTGGATACAAATTTGGGAATTGAATTTGGCTTCGGTTTTGGGTTTTAAAATTGAGATTCAATTCCTCTTTGTCGGTGGGTAATAATTAAACTCAATTTATATGGTTAGGAACAATCAGACTCAATTTAGTGGTACTGGTCACCGCTGTAGCTAAGGCAGCACCAGTTGTCGACGAGATCGAGACGGAGGGGTCGTCGGAGGCAGCACCAATTGTCAGCGCAGTTGTCGATGAGATTGCCGCCACCACCCAGCCCGTCAGTACTTTCGCGGCTTCAAATTCTGCTGGTGCTCGAGATCCCAACCTCGCTCCCAAGCTACATGAAATGTAAACCCGACCTAAACTCCAAATCATCTTCGAGGCCTAGTCCCATGCTTTGTTTCGCTCTCCCGCAGCTTGGGTCAGGTTGAATCCGTATTTAACTGAAACCCGGAGAGGAGGGAGTCGACCCAGGTGGCGATGTCGGAGGGGTTGTAGAGGACGGTGTCGGAGAGATTTGCATAGGCAGTGCAGATTTGAAATTGCAGGAGAATCTGAGAGAGAGAAAAGCAACGAGCTTCATCTGAGATTGTGGGTTGAGAGAATAAAAGATATTTGCTGATTGGCTCTGTAAACTGCGACCCTGTAAACTGTGATGTGTGAGTTTATTACTGTGATGATGTCTTGATGGACGACAGAGATTGAAGCAGCAGAGAAGTTCATTGTGAAATAAACAACGATGAGTTGAGGTTTTCTTGAGTTGTGTTTGAGTGGTGTTTGGAGATTTGAAATGGATTTTGCATATTCACGGTGGAAGTGAAAAAATGAAAGAGAACCGACACAACTTTTCGTATCGATTCCCACAGACGGCGCCAAATGTTGATGCACAAAATCAATGAGGACTTTGGTATAACAGAAAGTGTTAAGTTTGTGACCTTCGCTAGATTGCTCCGATCACCAGTATGGATAAGTATGTAAATGGATAGGGATAGGGAAGCAAACACAAGATGTACGTGGTTCACCCAGATTGGCTACGTCCACAGAGTAGAGGAGTTCTCATTAATTGTGAAGGGTTTACACAAGTACATAGGTTCAAGCTCTCCTTTAGTGAGTACTAGTGAATGATTTAGTACAAATGACATTCGGAAATATTGTGAGAGAATGATCTCTATTTATAGAAGAGAGTTTCTAGTTTCATTCTGACATTGACACGTGTCATGTTGTGATTGGTTTTTTATGTTGACACGTGTCACGCTATGTTGGCTTCTGATGTCGACACGTGTCGCGCTGTGATTGGCCTTCTGATTGGAGGGAAACTCTTCTGGGTCCTTTACGGTATAACGTTGACCAGTACTCAATAGTTTCGGGATTGGTCAAGTATGGTACAAACACACAACACGCCAGATGCACTTTTCCACTTCATCCATCCAGCTTGTATTCTATGGTTGAGGTCTCCATCTAATTCTTCGTTCTTTTGCAAGATAGATCCTGGGTAGCAAAAGCAGTCGCTCTTTGGTACTTCTTGGTCTCTGATCCTCACCCCTAATTCATTTGGGCCTCCATTTGCACTGAACTTACACTCCATATATTATGTCTTTGACCGACTTAGGCAAAGACCTTTATATTCCAACACTTCTCTCCAAAGGTTAAGCTTCGCATTTACCCCTTCCTAAGTTTCATCTATCAACAACTATATTATCTGCGAAAAACATACACCAAGGAATATTATCTTGAATATGTCCCGTTAACTCATCAATTACCAATGCAAAAAGGTAAGGATTTAAAGATGAGCCTTGATGTAACCCTACCATTATGAGGAAGCTTTCGATTTGTCCTTCATGAATTCTTACGGCAGTTTTTGCTCCATCATACATATCCTTTATAGCTTGGATATATGTTACTCGTACTCATTTCTTCACTAAAATGCTCCAAAGTATGTCTCTTGGGATCCTATCATACGCTTTTTCCAAATCTATAAAGACCATGTGTAAATCCTTTTTTATATATCTATATCTTTCCATCAATCTTCGTAAGAGATAGATTGTCTCCATGGTTGAGCGCCAGCATGAACCCAAATTGATTGTCCGAGACCCGTCTCTTGCCTCAATCTATGCTCGATGACTCCCTCCCAGAGCTTTATTATATGACTCATTAGCTTAATACCCCCATAATTCATGCCCAAGACCCGTGTTTTCTTCTATATATACGAACAAAAAACCCAACGTTACTTAGGCAAGGGTAGCAATTTCCTTTCAGGGATGCTACTTAAGAAAGTACCTGAGTGAAGCCTAGATTATTCTTATGAGAAGAGAACTACCCATATCTCAACCACTCTTGAAAAGATTGTAGCTATATCTAAAATAGCCACGGTACTCAAAGGAACCATTTAACAGCCTTGCAACGCCACACGAACCTGAAGTCGTGGTGGAATGAATACAAACATGAACAAGTGGAGTTAACAACGAAGCCTGTCTTGGAGGGATTGTGATAAAAGGAAAACATAGATGCAACGACAGGACAAGCTAAACTTATCTAATGCACAACATTCCATTTGCAATGAGGCAATGCCTTCGAGCTACTGCATATTTGTTTGCATTTGCAGAAGAAAAGAACAAAAGACCAAGAGAAAGTATGTTGGTGTTGAAGCATTGATAGCACCAAGAGTTGAAGGATCCAAGCTTCAGAAAAATTCCATTGAATAATAGTTCGTTTGTCTTGAACCAGCAGTTCCAGACTATTCCAACTCGTATCCAATTAGAGGGCTTTATATTACGAAAAGATAGACAACCGAGTAATACTATCCAGGCTGAAATTTCAACAATCAAAGCTTTTGGGCGTCAGAATTCTGGAAAAACAACAATGAAGTTAATATATTGATGCAATGAGAAATTCGCCCTGCCCCATGTAATGAAAAAACTTCAGCGTTGCAATTTCCATATCTTGTGAAATCCAGGAATAACGATGAAGAGAAAAAGGTGATATAGTTGTATCCTAGGGTTTCAGTAAAACATGGGAGCTACTACCTGAACATCTTAATAAAGAGTGAATGTTGTCGTCATTTGCTCCCTAGTGTGGAGGATACTATGCATGGCAGGTAACATCCTTCAATTTCAATAAAGGGAAAGTTATCGGTAAATGTTCTTGCTGTTCCATCAGTAGAATTATGAAGATACCTGTTCTCAACAACCTTGTACGATTAGTAGTCACCGAGTAGCTTAGTAAATAAGTGAAAAGGCAACCTTTAGAGCAGACATAAGATACGTTTGGGATCAAACAAGGAATAATAATATTCACCAATGATAAAAGTAAGAGCCCATACTGAAAAATATGAGATACACATGCATGGCCCCAAAAACAATTTATATCTGCCTATATGAGATACACCTGCATGGCCATAAGCTAGAGAACTTTGAGAACTAATCCAATCTGTCGATATGCATGTTTTTGTTTGTGTGTGTGTGTGTGTTTGAAAGCATGTGATCAAGCATGTGTATGTAAACATGCAAGGAGATATTTCCCAATAATATTACGGATAAAATGCACGCTTCAGATTCACATGTGATTTTACATTGGCTAACATTTTATTTTCTAGTGCTCCTGTAAATGCTCATCTAGTGAGTTCATATTTCATACATGACAACAGTTATTGTATATATTTGTACTTAATAGTTTTGGCAAAGGGAGGCAGCAAGCTTGAGGCAACAATTGCGGCACTTGGAAGAATGCCACAGGTACAACCATTAATTTACATTGAATCTTCAACATAGCCTAGTAATTTGATTCAAGTACCAAAGCATAAAATTCATATTTCATGTTGCTTATCCAAAACGATATCACTGATTATGGTACCAGCCCAGAAAACCTTTTCAACATGAAGGAAGAGGTAATGAAAAGAGGTTTCTTGATTATTCATAAGAAACAGAACAATAATTAGCACCAATTAAGGAAATACAGTAGCAGTGGACATGAAGTCCATTAAAGCTAACAGAAAAAAAAAATCAATTAATAAATAATTATCATCCAGCTGCTCAGCCGTAACATAGAAAACACAGATGCAATCTCAAGAAATCTTCACTAAAGGAAACATGAAATGTCATAAAAACTGAGGTCCCCAATGAAGCCTAACAACACGTTGTCCTAAGCCTAAATGATCTGGGTGTTCCCTTCCCTAGGCTTCCTCCTTAAGTGACTTTGTCAGAGACCAAGCTTTTAAACCAACTGAAATGCAACTTTTAAAAATCGCTTCCCAATATCTGATACTGTTACTTAAATATTGCTAAAACACTAAAGATCTTCCCATGAAATGTGAGATAATGATTTAATGGGAAAAATTTGGTATCTCATACACCAACACCACAAAGTAACATTTCGTAAATATGAATTAGTTTGTGAGAACGATTAGAGAATATTACCCCTACACCTTTCGTAAATTATGCAGGCAGTTAATGGGGCAAGAACATTCTGGTTTGAAAGCCAAAGATCTACAAAATTTGGAAAGCCAGCTGGAGATGAGTTTGAAAGTTGTCCGGACAAAAAAGGTATCAAAAGCCTTAGCCCTGATTATAGTCTCAGTTAAAATTTCATGTTCCCTTCTTTATATAGCACATGCATGGCACTCATTTGGTTTTTTTTTTCTATTCTGCAGAACCAGATACTTGATGATGAAATAAAAGAACTGAACCAGAAGGTAAACTGGCTTAATTTCCCCTAGTTGATTAATGTTGACTCATTTTATTGGGGGTTAACTGATAATTGTTAATTTTGTTTTTTACTTTATTTTCAGGGAAATTTGATACATCAAGAGAATATAGAAATGCATAACAAGCTAGACCTCATAGGTAAAGAGAATGAGGAACTGCAAAAGAAGGTACTGTCTATACATTAAGCTCTACTTTTCTATTTAACACATTATAATTCATCAAAAGGGTGGAGAGAGGCAATGGGTAAAGGGAAAATGAGAGGAACCAAATGAGGCTAAAACATAAAGCCATTATGTTAAGTATACTCATCAGCGAACGTGAAGATGTCTTCTCTAGCAAACGCTAACACAGAATAATTTAATCTCAGATTTTTGAAGCAAGGGATGTGAATAGAGGAAACAAAACTTCCCAGCCTCCATATAGCATCAGTAATGCACATGATTTGCATGCACCCATCCATCTGCAGCTAAGTCAGCCACATATTCAAACTCAGCCTGGGCCTGGGCCTCAGAAAGATGAAGTCTCAGCAAAAGCATTCAAATTAGGGTATCTCCTAAAGACTGTTAACATGTTATATAACACCCCCACACCCCCCCCCCCAAAAAAAAAAAAAAAAATCGTGTAATATTGCATACCACATTGATACAAGTGGACTAACCCCCAAAAAGAAAGAATAAAGAAAAGCTCACTGTTTTGATCATGCTATTAACATATCTTTCAAATTCTGCAACAGATTACAACTGCATTAGCAAAGTTGCTTCACAGCTGTGGATGGCTATGTCATAATGCAGAAACTTGCATCTAAGAGTGAAATGTCATACTTTCACTAAACGGATTCCACCGAAGGACCAACGGCTTTGGTATGAAATGTTCTATAAAACAAAATTTAGGATCTCTGTAAAAGTATTAGACAACAAGTTAGGTGTAATTCATGCAATAATGGGAAACAGTTGTGTGTCAGGACCAACTTTTATCTATATTAAAAATGTGTTGTGACCAATCACAGAACAAATGTCAATTGTTATACCTATATTTTATTTTAATGAATAAAAGCATCTCGAACAAGATGACTATCAAACTGACCATTATGTTTTTATTAATTCTAGCAGTTAGTTGGTTTATGAACAGTTCAATGAAGCATCTGATGGAAAAATAGTTAGATAAGAAACATGGAGACACGGAACAATATCTGGAAGAAACATTTAAGAAGATAACAAGGCATCTGAGGATTCACATGTAAGTTGAAAAAACACATAATTTGCATGAACAATTGGTACTTAACAATCAAATTATTTATTTGAATATTTCAGATAAATCATATACCTCTAAGAACAAAGTACTGATAACTACAGATAGACAACCTGCTGAAACTATGAGTCAACAATGTACGCAGACTAACAAAGTAACGCGTAGAACAGATGAGACAAAAAGGCATGTACCTATAAACAGGATGGAAATATTTGTATACCTAGGAAACATTAATAAACCAATAAAGTTTTCGAACTATAATTTCTGACAATTTTATCAATTTGTAGTTGAGTTAATGAGATTAGCAGAACACGATGATCACTGATATGAAGTTTGTTATAATTCTGAAGGGGAAAAAGGAAAAATTTCCTTGAGTTCCATTCATAAATTCCCTTGTCGGAAGTGCATTTGAAAGTGCAGTGACAGAGTGCCAGAATATCAGACGCTAGACTACCTGTTGTAATTTTATGCACAAGTGGAAGCGAATGCTAACAAAAGTACCAAATAATAACATCGGAGGCGAAAGCTAAAAACAAACAATCTCAAAATAAAAATACAAAAGATTTACATGGTTCGGCGTAAAGCTTACGTCCACAGACGAAGCACGGCGAGTAATTTCACTAAACAAAGTGAGATTACAAAACAGTGTGTAACTCTCATAACCCAAATCCAACACATTACAAACCCTAAACCAAACGAATAGAGAACTAAAACAAACGGAGTAGTCTCTCCTAATTGGAAGTCAATCAAATACTAATCAAATAGATAATTAACAAAATCTCTCCCCCAATCAACAAATCCATCTAAGAAGTCAAATCCAAACCCAAAAAGAACACCAAAACAACATAAGTAACACAAAACTAATTTCTACATAATCCTAATTTTGTATCGTAAATCACAACACTAGCCAGAAGTAGAGCACCCAAAACTAGATAAAATTCCTCTGCAGATTATAGGAGATCTGAGACACCACGATGAGAGTGTGCACCATGTTCACATTCTATATCACTCTCACACAAATAGTACAGAAAAAACAAGTTGGCACGGATTATTGTGTTAGTCAGCACAATGTGCAGAGCATGTAGCAAACACATTTACTTTGATTTATTAATTGAAAACTATGCACATAATGAGACAAACCACCAGAATCTTCGTAATGTTAATTGCATTAATAGTGCTTGCAGGCATCTATGACATACTCTGAGATATAGGACAATTCAGTACTGTCTTTAAAGCTGCTCAATGTGATTTCAATCCAGAAAGGAAACATCTAAATGGTAGATTGTGTAGAATTATTAAAGAGACTGGTCATACGGCTTACTTCCAACAATATCGATATTGTCTCTAATTTGGTAATTATTACTTGCACAATTCGTTAGATGTGGGATTTAATCACAAAATGTCTCGGTGTTGGTTAGAGTGGGGTCAAGTTATTTAAACTATTACTTATCATTTACTACAACCGATGTAAGATTCAACACGTCCCCTCACGTAGGACCCAATTAGTGGGTTATGCGTGGGAGACCCACACATCGGCAATCACGTGGAACAAAGGGGACTCACCCTACACGCGGGGCCAATGGATCCACCATCATCTGACGGGGCCAAGGGGACCCACCCATCACGTGACAGTAGAGTAAGGGTCCGCTCCCTTGCTATGATACCATATAAAATTATCAGAGAGACGGGTCATACGGTCCACTTCCAACAACACCAATATTATTCCCAACTTGGTAATTACCAACTGCACAATCCGTCAGGTATGAGTTTTATCACAAAAAAACATCGTAGTTAGTTAAAGTGGAATTAAGATATTTAAACTATTACTTATTATTTACTACGACCAATATGGGATTCAACATCTGGCTCAATAATTTTTGCCACATTGAAACTATTCCTATTATTATCCACTGCGCAGTCTAAAACAGGCCTCCTGAATGATTGAATAAGATTTTTTACTATAAAATTTGGAGTTGGTTTGCAGTAACTTTCTGTTTTACTTGTATCATGATAAAAAACACAACCAGTGCATATTTAATAACTTTGAAGGCAATCAGTGGATATTTGACAAACTAGAAGGTAATCTTGCTAATACTTTAAAAGTGTAACACTCTTCTCAAGATTCACTACTGCCATTCTATGTTATACCTAACAGATAAAATGAACAAGAACAGCTGCAAGCATAAAAAAAAAACAAGCTACTAACACTTCTGATTTGAAGAAAAAATGCTTTATGGTCGGTATTTATTGTTATCCTAAAATCAACGAGGGGGCTATGTGCCTACATTATCATGATTTCATGAAATTCATGTCTTATTTAATAATCGATTTTCTGGTCTTCTATGAAATCTGTTCAATCAATCTCAACCATTGGTTTTATTTTTGAATACCAAACAAACACTGCACAGCAATCAATAAGAGAATCTACTGTAAGCCAACCCAATATTCTTGCCTGTGTGGAAACTATGATCAATATTGTAGCTCTTAGTTGCTAAATTATTCTAATTATTCTTTGTTGTGGGTGACCAATATTGGGATGAACATGCATAAAATAAAGATAATGGAATAAATTAATCACCCATTACTTAATCGCTATTTTCTAAATAGGTGCCGAACGATCTTTATTTACATTTGGGTTTCAACATGTGTTAAAAAACTCCGCGCTTAATCTTAATCTTCTAGAAGGTGGCCTAGGAGTTTAGTTTCCAGATAAGAAGGGATGCAATCCAATTTTCCTACCTCTATTTCTCTAGAAAACTGAGTAAATATTTCTATCAAAGTCTACCAGATGAGATGTTGCATTCCTTTTTTTTTAATTCAGTTAGCATGCTACAAATGAACATATGCTATCCTGCCTGAAGAGTCCTTTGAATTTTTTTCTTTTTTTTTTGGTTCACAAACTGGGCACAAAGCCCAAGAACAAGGTCAACAATAGAAAACTTATACCCTAGAGCTATGAGTCCTCCAAATACTATCACAAGTACAAAAAAGGCTTTGCGCGACGCAGAACTTTCATCTCGCAAAGTAAAAAAATATTGCGCAAAAATTAGCCCAACGAACCTTCGTCGCTCACCCACTGTTGGGCCAATGCAATGATAGCAGGGTTTGCGCGATGAATAAATGATATGCGTTTCACAAAGTACTTTTGCGTGACGTAGGTCACTTCTTCATCATGCAAACCCTTTTTATTTTTTGGCAAAGAATTTTTTTATTTAATTTTTAATAAATATTGTAATTAAATTCTAAACAATAATTAATAAACCAAGAACAAGTATTTAATTATAAAATTTATGAAAATGTACATGCAAGATGTCTGAACAAAAAATAAAAAAACTACAAGTATTCTAGGTTTAATACATCATGCTACTGGTATCGGCTTGACGAAATAGCTGGGAAGTCGAAGGTGGAGCAAGATCACGTGCTAGCATCGGGATTTGGAGGTCGGACATCGCTAAGGGCTGTACAATCATACTCATCCACTCGTCCTGGGCCCTAATGTGCTTGCCCTGGGTCGCAAGCTGACCTTTTAGGACTGTTACTTCCTCCTTCAGGGCATTGACCTCTCCTGTGGACGATCTGGAAGAGGAGGCACCCGTCTCACGAACCCCTGCCTTTCCCATACATCGAACAACCTTGCCATGACGACGACCCAACTTCTGATCCAGGACCTTAGTCATGATCTGAAGACCTACATCCTCGGGTACAATGACGCCCTCGATCGGGGTCTCCGGGGGAAGCTGTGATGTTGCTTCTTGGAGAACAATAGTGCACTTTTCCACCATAGCACCTTGTAATAATAAAGAAAAAACATATAATGTTTAATAACAAAATATAAATATTATTTGAACGATTCATAAAAATAAGAATAATAACAATACACACACACATTCAATAAATTAAATATAATTAATCAACATAAACAAATGGACATTCTAATTGTAACATATATGTAATATGCACTATTTTAAATGCATTTTCTCGAACTAATAAGGAGACACATGCAAAGATAAGAAAGGAAATGTTCAGTTATTACGTAAATATATCTCTCTCTCTCTCTCTCTCTCTCTCTCTCTCTATATATATATATATATATATATATATATATATATATATATATATATATCGAGCATCACCACCAAACAACAGTACAATAATGGAGTCCGAGAAAATGGTTTTTGTAAGCAATAAGACCACTCCAATAGCAATTGTAAATATTGGTTAAATATCACATCTCCCAATCTCCCTCTGTCCTATCCAAAGTCATATCACAGCTGCATCCATGATACTCACAAATATAATTGTGCACATTCTTAACTAAGTTTACAACTCAAGCACTCATTAAATATGTGGCAGTTAACTAAATGATATTTACTCATATAGCTTCAGCCTAAATTAGAAATATACAGAGCTAGTTGATTGCAATTAAAAGAGATTAGAAGATAAAAAATTGTGCCAAAAGCTTATTTGTTTTGTTCTGTTCGTATCCTTGTTAGTGTCAGAGAACTAAGATTTTGCTAGGCAAATGAGAATTTGATGATGTTAGAGAAAATTTAAACATCCATAGAACAAAATCAACAGACCCCAAATCATATCCAAATCAAGAAAGCAAAATGATATCCAGAATTCTCTAAACAACCGCAACTTGTTCTTTCCAATAGACAAATTGGGTGCAGAGGCAAAATTTTCAAAGCATATCATAGAAAAGTACCTCCTTTAGAATTAAAGAAATTTGAAAGGCAAAAGAAGTTTAGTTCAATTGTTGACGGCTTCGGGAAAGTTAAATACAGAAGGTGCTTTCTGCAGAAGTTTGAATCCGGTCCATTGTTCAACCATGTTGCAACTCCGAAACATAGATAGGAATCCCACAGCAGATTGACATGGACGCCTATGAAGCAATGTAAGCAAATATCAAGAACTCGATGCGAAATCATGAAAAACTAGTAAGCAAACCATTACAACATTGAAACTAAGCAAACAATTACTGCATTGAGTTGGCACAGTTCAACAACTACACATTTGGGTATAGATTAAAGCAAATTATAAATGTGAAATTGAAATTGAACACTATATTTGGGTGAAAAATCACCTAGGTTCTAAAATATAGTTGAATTTCAGAGCAGATTGACAGAAAATATATCCAGATATCAACTGAACCAACAAAACAGGGAACTACGATGCCCAAAGTTCAAAGTTTTCAAGCGGATTATGGTATCAAATTTCAATTTCTATTAATAAATTAAACAAAGAAACATTCTTTACTAAAACATCAACAGTTAAGCAGGAATTAAATGGATGAATCAAGTATCAGAAATATTACATGTATTAAAGCTCAAAGTGCATGAGCTTCCAATATGGATCAAAGGATTCAAATCCCATATGTGGAAAACTGGGATTGAACAAAACCCATGTAGTGAAATTTTGTAATAGGGAGGACAGACTAAGGATTCATGCTTTTACTGTTCTTCGAGAAAACTCACCACAGAGATCATTAAATAGCTAAAACCCAGTTCTGGAAATATGAAATGGAATATTTAGGACCCGTTTGTTTGACCGGATTAGGGAGGACTGGACTGGACTGGACTGTAGTCCCTTGTTTGGTCTGCACCAGGATTAGGTTTAATGGGATTAGGTCTGACTCGCTGGGATTAAACCCCTCACTACGAGTTCTAAGCGAAGCACCCCAATCACCCCCGGACTCGTAAGACCTCTTGCGCTCCTGCGCTCCTGCGAGAGAGAACCTCGCTCAACCTCGATCCTCGCCGTGCTCCCTCCTTGCCCTGCTCCCTCATCTTCGTCCTCCTCATCCTCATCTCTGCGTCCTGCTCGCCCTCAACTCCATCCTGCTCGCCCTCATCTGGTAAACTTCGAATCCGACATTATTTCTTCGATTTTTTTTTGCAGATCGTGATATTACTGGGCTTTATTTGATTTAGGTGTTTTGGGTTTGATAAATTTTCAATTATAGACCTCTGCACTTGAACAAATTAGGGTTTTGATTTTTAGGGTCAAATTGAGATTAGAATTTTCAATCATAGCTTGTCGTTGCTCTGGGCTTCGATTGATGGTTGATACATGCTTTTTAAGTTTGTATATCTTTTGATTCTGGTTTTCTAGGGTCTGTAGCTTTTAGATTTTAATTTCTTAACCAGTTAATTGTTGATTTGGATGATAAGTTACAAAACATTGTTGAGTTATTACAAAACATTGTTGAGTTATTTGATTTAGGTGTGTGTGCAGTGTGTGTGTGTGTGTGCAGTGTGTGTGTGAATGAGTGTGTATGCAGTGTGTGTGTGTGTGCAGTGTGTGTGTGAATGAGTGTGTCTGCAGTGTGTGTGTGAATGAGTGTGTATGCAGTGTGTGTGTGGTGTGTGTGTGTGTGTGTGTGTGTGTGTGTGTGTGTGTGTGTGTGTGTGAGGGTAAGAGTGTGTTGCACTCTGTCCCCGTGTGTGTGTGTGTGTGACTGTGTTTGTGTGTGAGTGTGAGTGTAAGTGTGAGTGTGAGTGAGTGTGAGTGTAAGTGAGTGTGAGTGTGAGTGTGTGTGCAGTGTGTGTGTGTGTGTGTATGCAGTGTGTGTGTGTTAGTGTGTTGCATTCTGTCCCCGTGTGTGTGTGTGTGTGACTGTGTTTGTGGGTGAGTGTGAGTGTGAGTGTAAGTGTGAGTGTGAGTGTGTGTGAGTGTGAGTGTGTGTGCAGTGTGTGTGTATGCAGTGTGTGTGTGAATGAGTGTGTATGCAGTGTGTGTGTGAATGAGTGTGTATGCAGTGTGTGTGTGTGTATGCAGTATGTGTGTGCAGTGTGTGTGTGTGTGCAGTGTGTGTGTGTGTGTGTGCAGTGTGTGTGTGTATGCAGTGTGTGTGTGTGTGTGTGCAGTGTGTGTGAGTGTGTATGCAGTGTGTGTGTGTGTGCGCAATGTGTGTGTGTGTGTGCAATGTGTGTGTGTGTATGCAGTGTGTGTGTGTGTGTGTGTGTGTGTGTGTGTGTGTGTGTGTGTGTGTGAGTATAAAAACAGAGTGTGTGTGTGAGGGTAAGAGTGTGTTGCACTCTGTCCCCGTGTGTGTGTGTGTGACTGTGTTTGTGTGTGAGTGTGAGTGTAAGTGTGAGTGTGAGTGTGTGTGAGTGTGAGTGTGTGTGCAGTGTGTGTGTGTGTGCAGTGTGTGTGTGTATGCAGTGTGTGTGTGTGTGTATGTGTGTGTGTGTGTGTGTGTGTGTGTATGTGTTGTGTATGCAGTGTGTGCAGTGTGTGTGTGTATGTGTGAGTGTGTATGCAGTGTGTGTGTGTGTATGCAGTGTGTGTGTGTTAGTGTGTTGCATTCTGTCCCCGTGTGTGTGTGTGTGTGTGTGTGACTGTGTTTGTGGGTGAGTGTGAGTGTAAGTGTGAGTGTGAGTGTGTGTGTGAGTGTGAGTGTGTGTGCAGTATGTGTGTGTATGCAGTGTGTGTGTGTGTATGTATGCAGTATGTGTGCAGTGTGTGTGTATGTGTGAGTGTGAGTGAGTGTGAGTGTGAGTGAGTGTGAGTGTGAGTGTGAGTGTGAGTGTGAGTGTGTGTGAGTGTGAGTGTGTGTGCAGTGTGTGTGTGTGTATGCAGTGAGTGTGTGTGTGTGTGTGAGTATAAAAACAGAGTATAAAAACACAGTATGTATGCAGTGTGTGTGTATGTATGCAGTGTGTGTGTGTGTGTATGTATGCAGTATGTATGCAGTGTGTGTGTGTATGTGCAGTGTGTGTGTGTGTATGCAGTGTGTGTGTGTGTGCAGTGTGTGTGTGAGTGTGTATGCAGTGTGTGTGTGTGTGTGTGTGCAATGTGTGTGTGTATGCAGTGTGTGTGTGTGTATGCTGTGTGTGTGTGTATGCAGTGTGTGTGTGTATGAGTATAAAAACAGAGTATAAAAACACAGTATGTATGCAGTGTGTGTGTATGTATGCAGTGTGTGTGTGTATGTATGCAGTATGTATGCAGTGTGTGTGTGTATGTATGCAGTATGTATGCAGTGTGTGTGTGTGTGTATGTATGCAGTATGTATGCAGTCTGTGTGTATGTATGCAGTGTGTGTGTGTGTGTGCAGTGTGTGTGTGTATGCAGTGTGTGTGTGTATGCAGTGTGTGTGTGTGTGTGTGCAGTGTGTGTGTGTATGCAGTGTGTGTGTGTATGCAGTGTGTGTGTGTGTGCAGTGTGTATGCAGTGTGTGTGTGTATGCAGTGTGTGTGTGTATGCAGTGTGTGTGTGTGTGTATGTATGTATGCAGGGTGTGTGTGAGTCTTTGTCAGTGTGTGAGAGTGTGTATGTCCGTGTGTGTGTTAGTGTGAGTGTGAGTGTGAGTATGTATGTGTATTTTGCACATTTGTCCATGAGTGTGTGTGTATGTACTTGGTTTATAACCATGATATTACAATGTGAATGTTTTGTATTGTGTGGGGTTGATGCTGAATTGCAATTTTTTGTGGTTGTTGGTTGCAGAGAAGAGGAGCATAAACAGAAGGCTAAGGCTAAGGCTAAGGCTAAGGCTACTGCATTACAGGTGTCCTTTAATTTCCCTCTTCACATGCAATGCCTAGCAATGATAGCAATCCTCATACTAGTGTTCTTAGACACATGTTTATAGATGTTTATAGATGTCCTTAATTTGTTTTTTGTTTTTTTTTTTTGTTTGGATAGATATGGATCGAAGGAAGCTTTTATTGATCTTATTGTTAGAGATGTCTTATTTGGAGACAATTTGTATTTGTACGATTCTTGTGGTGATGATGCTACGTGGCAAACAGAGACATGTTGAACGACCCACATTGACTAACCGTTCACTTATTAGACGAGAGATTAGTTTGTGTTATCTGAATGGTATAATAGGGAATACTGATACTGAATGTGTCAACGAATTGAGAATGGATAGAAGGACTTTTGGCATATTATGCGACTTACTTCGTCAAGATGGGAGGGTAAAAACTGATGGTTTGGTGTCTGTAGAGGAACAGGTGTGTATGACTTTACAAATATTAGCACATCATACTAAGAATCGTAGTGTTGGCGGTAGATTTTATAGGTCGGGAGAGACTATAAGTAGGTATTTCAATAGCGTATTGCAAGGAATTTTGCGATTACAAGGTATCCTACTAAAAGTCCCCCAGCCTGTGCCTATTGATTCTACAGATCCTAGGTGGCGATGTTTTAAGGTATGATGAGAATTTTTTTTCATTTTCCCTAAGCTTTAACTCTTCATTCCCTTTGTATAAATTAACAACAACTTTTTTATTTTTTATTTTTAAGAATTGCTTGGGAGCATTGGATGGAACACACATTGATGTGCATGTACCTGAAATTGACAAACCAAGATACCGAACAAGAAAGGGTCGAGTCGCAACTAATGTGTTTAGGTGTGTGTTCAGGAGATATGCAGTTCATATATGTGTTTCCGGGGTGGGAGGGTTCCGCATCAGACTCTAGAGTGCTACATGATGCAATTAGTAGGCCTAATGGTTTTAAGGTACCAGCGGGTAAGACTATTACTTAGTCTCAACTTTGTAAGTTAGGTTTAGTTCTGTTTGTCAACTACAAAACACTAATAAGGTCTGTTTTTTTTTTCATTAGGTTATTATTACCTTGTAGATGGTGGTTATACAAATGGTGAAGGATTCCTTGCACCCTATAGAGGAATACCTTATCATTTATCTGAATGGGAGGGACGAACACCTTCTAATAAGGAAGAAGAATATTTTAACATGAAGCATTCTAAGGCAAGGAATGTAATTGAACGCTGTTTTGGCTTGCTAAAAGGAAGGTGGTCGATACTAAGGAGTCCATCTTTCTATCCGATAAGGACACAAGGTCGAATAATTACCGCTTGTTGCCTACTACACAATCTTATTAGGCAAGAGATGTTTGTAGATCCAATGGAGAATTTGCCAATAATAGAAGATGGACAAAATACAGAAGAAGGTGAATATGTTGGTAGTGTTCAAACATCGGACCAGTGGACTGCAATGAGGAATGATATGGCTCAGGAAATGTATAATGAGTGGAGAGCAATTAGGAACCAGCAACCGAACTAGCTATATGTGTTAATGATAACATTTTATTTTAGTATTCCTTTTTATCATGCATTTGTTAGATATTAGCACAATGATTGGATGGTATGCAAATTAATTGGATATTATGCAAGTTGATTGGATATTATGCAAGTTGATTGGATATTATGCAAATTGATTATTTGTATGGTATTTTCCTTCATTAAAATATTTTTTGTTTAGGTATGGATAACGAAAATTTTTTGAATGCTACTCAAGAGCCAAAAGGAAGAAGGCGTAAATGGGAAGCATTTGAGGAAGAAGTATTACTAGGAGTTCTTGAGGATTTTGTTGCTCGGAAGCAACGGTGTGACACCGGTGCTTTCAAACAAGGTACTTTGGTTGAAATAGCAAAAGCTGTCAATGTTTTATGTCCTCATTCAAATATAAAGGCAAATCCACATATTGAGTCCAAGTTGAAGAAATGGAAAAAAACATATAGTATGGTCGTTGACATGATAAACACAAGTGGATTTGCATGGAATGATGTCAAAAAGTGCGTTGAAGTTGACAGTGATGACGCATGGCAAACTTATGTGCAGGTTCATATCCTATTTTATTTATGCATTAGTTATATTCTTGCTGCTATATTTGTTACGCATGCTAAATTCTAGTTTTGCTATGTTGATATAATCTTAGAGAAATAAAGAAGCCGATGGATGGAGAAGCAAACATTTTCCACTGTTTGATAGATTTGCATATATATTTGGAAAAGATCGGGCTACGGGTAATGTAGCCGAAACCCCTGCTCAAATGGTGGAGGAACAAAGTCATGATCATGTTGGTGAAAGTGATATTGGAGGTGAAAATTTTGTTTCTTCAATGAACCAACAAAGCCAACAAAGCACCCCATCTAAAAATAGCCAAAGAAAGAGGAAAAGAGCTGTGGGAAGTTCAAGTGATGGAACCGAGGCAATTATCAGTGGACTGAAAGATTTTTATGTTGAAAGTGGGAAGAGGATGCAAATGGTAACCGAAGCTTTAGTTCAAGGTACTGCAGATCATACTGACATAGCTAATGAACTTGAAGCAATGGGTCTCTCTCCTATGGATCAAATTGATGCATTGTCTCTTATTTTGGATAAACCAAAAAATGTGGGAGTGTTCAGGGCAATCAAACCGGAACTCAAGAAAGTGTTCGTCCAAAGGCTTTTAAGCGACAACGCAAGCGGATGAGGATTTTGGCTAATGTTAACATGGATGTATTTTATTAACGTTAACATGGATGTATTTTATTAATCATACAATCTTATGTTATGACTTATAACTTAGCTTTGCACTAGTATTTTGGCTTATGTTAACTAGCCATTTTGTAAATTATGGAGATCTATTTTTGGCTAATGTTAACTAATGTTAACTAGGATTTTCTAAATTATGGAGATCTTATGTACTTGTATTTGTTGAAGTTGCATGTATTGGCCACTATTATTTTTCTTCTGTTGGGTGATAGAGTTTAAATCAAGCTACATTTGCAAATTAAACCCAATTCTATTAGCAGGTAATAGAAACAAAACAATTGTCAATTTTTTTTAAGATTCATAATATACATGGCAAAAATATGCTCCAATTAACCCATATCATGAGATTTGTAGCATTACTCTATTATACAATGGCAAAAATTTGTAGTCCTAGTCTAAGCAAACACAAATTTGGTGAACAGTACTGTTTTTCTTATCCTGCTTCTTAGTCCGAGACTGCACCAAACGCTTCACTAAGTTAGTCCAGCTTAGTCCAGTCTAAGCCAGTCCAGCTTAGTCCCGGCAGCTAGTCCAGTCCGAGACAGTCCAGCGCAACAAACGCACCCTTATGGTATAAGAAGATGGGGTTTCCTGAATAGGGTTTTAGGGGATTGGGATTAGAAAAGTGGGAATCTCTACTGTGCTAAATATGGATTGCGGTTCCACTGAGAAGTAGAGGACTTGTATTATACACCTGTATGTATGAATTTAAAATAAAAGATTAGAGAATACAGATACAGAAACAGAGAACAAAGAAGAGATACGGAGGAATGTAGAGTTGGTGTTGGGCTAGAAGTTGTACCTGCAAGTCAAACTCATTTCTTTCGAGTTTGTGTTGGGATTCCTACCCTTACAAATCCGAAACCCTATCAACTAAACAAAATCAACAGACCCACATAACCTCAAACCCTCACAAATCCGAAACCCTATCAAATCATAACCAACATCCAATTTTATCTGGATATTTCGACAAAGTACTCAGAAATCAACATGCAATTTGACCCTAAACCCTAAATAACAAAAACCCATTGAAAATAAAAAATCCTTACCTTAAGTTTGGGACTTGATTCTCGTCGGCTTCGAGATTCGTGTGGTTGCCCGTCATTTAGAACGAGAGGGAGAGAGACAACCGACAGAGTAGTGGTGGTGGTTGGATTCGAGATTGTGAAGAGGAAAGACAGGTCTAGGTTCAAGATTTAGGGTTCAAGGTTGTGAAGAAGAGAGAAAGGTCTACAGGAAAGAGAGAGGGAGAGATGAGCGAGAGGGAAGAGATAGGTCTACGAGAAAGAAATAGGAGATGCAGGACTAGGGGAAGAGAGAGGTCTACGGGAATGAAAGAGGCGATGCAGGTCTACGAGAAAGAAAGAGCGAGAGGGAAGAGAGAGGTCTAAGGGAAAAGAAAGATCTATGGGGTTGAAGGTTGCCAAACTTGGAAAATTGAAAAAAAAAAAAACACCTCTTTTCACTATTGAACGGCCAAAATTATCACAACTAGCGCGACATAGGTATACAATTTGACGTTACGCAAAGTAGTTTTGCACGACGATCACATTAAGGCGTCACGCAAGGTATTTTTTTAATTTTTTTAAATATTATAAAAATTACTAAAAATGTGACTTTACTCATTTCAAATTCAAAATTTTCTTACATAAACCCCAAAATAATATATTTTTTCTAACAAAAACCCACAATAATTTTTTTCACATATATATCATTCAATTTCTTAAGTTTTATAAGTACAAAATAAATAAATTAAAATCTACTTAGTAAATCTATATATACCATTGAACTTGATGGGAAATGCATTGTACGAAACTAGTTTCAAAGATACAGCCGTCAAATTTGTTTGTATATGCTTCGAGATCGCATACGCCAAAAAATCGCAGAAAACAAACATGCATAGATCAAGTAACGGGATAAAACTTTTCAACAGTTATAAACGAAAAAACACGATTTAACGATAGTTTTAACTCCGATTTTGATGATTTTTTACATCTACACTCCTAGATCCTATATGAATACAATGAACTAATTCGATTGTCAATTTAAAATATTTACACAAGTGGATACCACAAAATCTTATGTTATACTTAATGAAAGTATAAATAAACTCTAAGTGTTAGTAAATCTATTGTTTTGATGGGAAACGCATTGTACGAAACTAGTTTCAATAATCCAACCGTCAAACTTGTTTGTATATACTTCGAGATCGCATACGCCAAAAATCGCAAAAAACAAACATGTAGAGATCAAATAACGGGACAAATATTTTCGACGATTATAAACAAAAAAAAAATATTTAACGGTTATTTTAACTCCGATTTTGATGATTTTTTACAGCTACACTCCTGGATCCTATATAAATACAATGAATTAATTTGATCGTCAATTTAAAATATTTACACAAGTGGATACCAAAAAATCTTATGTACTAAATGAAAGTATAAATAAACTGTAAATGTTAGTGAATCTATCGTTTTGATGGGAAACACATTGTATGAAACTAGTTTCAAAAATCCAACCATCAAACTTGTTTGTATATGCTTTGAGATCGCATACCCCAAAAATCGCAAAAAACAAACATTCAGATATCAAGTAACAAGACAACCATTTCGACGACTATAAACGAAAAATCACGATTTAACAGTTATTTTAACTCCGATTTTGATGATTATTTTACAGCTACACTCCTTGATCCTATATGAACACAATAAACTAATTCGATTGTCAATTTAAAATATTTACACAAGTGGATACCACAAAATCTTATGTTATACTTAATGAAAGTATAAATAAACTCAAAGTGTTAGTGAATCTATTGTTTTGATGGGATACGTATTGTACGAAACTAGTTTCAACGATCGAATCGTCAAACTTGTTTGTATATACTTCGAGATCGCATACGCCAAAAATCGCAAAAACACAAACATTTAGAGATTATGTAACGAGACAAACATTTTCGACGGCTATAAATGAAAAATCACGATTTAACGGTTATTTTAACTCTGATTTTGATGATTTTTTACAGATACACTCTTTAAACCTATATGAATACAATGAACTAATTCGATCATCAATTTAAAATATTTACACAAGTGGATACCACAAAAGAAAAAGGCAATGTAAAAACCCCAAAAGAAAAGCAAAAGGAAAAAAAAACTTTGCGCAACGTAAGTACACCTACGTCGTGCAAAGTTTTTTTATTTTTTGCCCTTTTGCTTATGAGTACAAAATAAATAAATAAAAATCTACTTAGTAAATATATATACTATTGAAATTGATGGGAAACATATTGCACGAAATTAGTTTTAACGATTCAACCGTCAAACTTGTTTGTATATACTTCTAGATTGCATACGCCAAAAATCGCAAAAAAAAAATATTCAGAAATCAAGTAATGGGACAAACCTTTTCGACAATTATAAACGAAAAATCATGATTTAACAGTTATTTTAACTCTGATTTTGATGATTTTTTACAGCTACACTCTTTGACCCTATATGAATACAAACTGTGATCATCAATTTAAAATATTTACACAAGTAGATACCACAAAATCTTATGTTATATTTAATGAAAGTATAAATAAACTCTAAGTATTAGTGAATCTATCGTTTTGATGGGAAACACATTGTAGGAAACTAGTTTCAACGATCCAACCGTCAAACTTGTTCGTATATGCTTCGAGATCGCATATGCAAAAAATTGCAAAAGACAAACATTCAAAGATTATGTAACGGGACAAACTTTTCAACGGCTATAAACGAAAAATCACGATTTAATGGTTATTTTCACTTTGATTTTGATGATCTTTTTTGCAGTTACACTCTTTAAACCTATATGAATACAATGAACTAATTTGATCGTCAATTTAAAACATTTACACAAGTGGATACCCCAAAAGAAAAGGGCAATGCAATAACCCCAAAAGAAAAGCAAAAGGAAAAAAAATAAAAAATAAAACTTTGCGAGACGTAGGTGCAACTGCATCGTGCAAAACATACTTTTGCATGACATTTTGTATTTTGCATCGCGCAAACATACTTTGCACGACGAAATTTGCTCCGTCGCGCAAACATGTTTTTCTACTAGTGTATGTTCTTGGATTAGTGATCAGTTTCAATATTTTTGAATACCAATATAGAAAGATGACTTAAATAGTTCATGGGAGAAAATTGGGTCATCTGGGAGATATTTTATTCATTAAATATTCTTTATTCTTTTAAAATCCAATAGTTTCAATTTAAATTATGTACTGATTGGAAAAGGAAGGGATATCGGGCAACATAGAATTGAAAATTTTGAGGACCTATTGATTCTAACAACTGATTGTAGAGTTTATCAAGTTGGGGGATGTAGGTCTGGATGGGGAAGTTCTTAGCACATTTTCCTTACTTTTTGTGTGAAATACCTCACTTAGTTTGAGGTACTGGATGTAGCTTTTTCGACGGGAAAATATACCAAATATTAAAATAATCAAATACTTCAGAATAGTTTTTATTTCTAAACACCTCTTCTTCTAAATTTGGTCTGTACGTAAGAACTTGAGTTTCCATAGCTAATATGCTAATCAGGTAGGCAGATCCATAGATGTTCCTACATGTACGGGGGTGTGCACGCGCGCACACATATATACGGGAAGATAAAATATTATTGTATCATATTATAAGATATTATTGTATCATATTGTGCATTACTGCATTTATAAATAGATGAAAAGTTTAGATCTGTATACTTCAGTTTTTCTATATTTCATCACAAGTGAACCACAATGGCTTAAAACCAATGTAATCAGGCCACTAATGTTGCGGTTTGGTTTGGTCCGATTTGCAGTTTAACTCGCATATAGTACCCAATGAAAAATTAAGAGCTATTGTCGAAGTAAATATTAGAAAAATTTGTAAACTTATCAATTTAAAAATTTCATCATCAAACTATCAACCTTGGAACTTAAATTTACAAGTTCACAACTTGAAAATTCTTATTTTCATAACTCAACAAAAAGTCTCTAACCTCTAATCTCATAAGTCCAAGATGTTTGATAAAACACTAATATATAAAATATTATATATGTGTGTTCACACAATATTATATAGATTATGTATTTTAGTATAAGCAGTTTGGTTCCGCTGACCCACATTTGTACAAGTCAAAACCGCATATTAAACTGATTCTTATTAACCAATTGACACTTATCAACTGTCTGTTATAATCAAGGAACAAAATGCCGATAATATCGGCGATATTTCACCGATATTATCGGTTTTTCACGGTACCGATATTTTAATAGGTATCCAACGGGTTTTCGTCAAAATATCGGGATACCGAAACTATTGCGATATTTTGGAACTGTGCTACTCGGAGAAGAACGCCGAAGCTTCTACAGCTCCGGCCGATTACAAACGCAAACCTTAGACTCCGATCTAATTACCAACGTGAAGAGGAAAGAGAGAGGAGTAAGTTTATACCCATGGTTCGCCGTGAAATGGCCGAAGGTGTTCGGAAAGCTCCTCAACAGTCACGGGTTCACCGGAGTTGGGTGAGCTTTCCCTCGACCTGATCTCGTTCCATAACACACACCCAAGCTTACCTAACCGGAGAAAATGAAGAAAACTCGCCGGAGGTTTCTGGGTTTCGTCGATCTTGCAGAGACAAGAGGAAGAGAGAGAAAGACGAGGTTTTGATGGTGATGCCGTCTACGGAACGATGGTGTGGGTGCCGTGTACTAGGGTAATCACGGGAGAAAGAGTGAGAGTGATCAGAGGGTTTCGAGAGAGAAGAGAGTGTGCAGAGAAGGAAAGAAAGAGAAGAAGAAAGAAAGGGGGTCTCGGGTAAGATCTGGTTGATCTCGGTGACGATGGTGACGAAGCAGGAGGAGGAAGAGGAGGAGGGGAGGCGGCGGAGGGAGAAGGAGTAGGAGGAAACAAAGAGGGTTTTGCAAGGGCGGAGATTGCGAAGAGGGATAGGAGGGCGATGAGGAGGAGGAGGGATCGTTGACTTGTTCTCTCTGTCTTCTATTCTTTCTCGTTTCAATTGGCAATTTAGGGATTTAAGCAAGTTTCAGGCCCCCAAATCATCTACTTATATTGCCCTAAAAAACTCCAAGTAATTACAACATCGTATTAGAATTGTAATTGATCCTTGTTAGATTTGGTTTAGAAATTCTATGTAATTTAGTGATTGTTTCATATTAGGTTTAGATTTGAATTTTTTACTCCATTCAGATTTTAAAGGATTATAATAGATTTAAAAATTTATGAATTTTGATGAAGTTTAATAATTTTTAAAACTTTTATGTAAAATTTTAAGTGAATTCCCTCAAATTTTCAGGGAGCGATTTGAGAATGTTTAAAATATTATGTGAAATATTTCTAATTTTTTCGAGTTTCCCAACTTTTTAAAATCTCTTCGAATCAAT